TTTTAGAGAGGCCAGCTACAGTCAGCATCCCAAAATTCCCCCAGGGATGAGTGCCTGGGATGTGATGCCCTTGAATCCAGACTTCTGCTGAGGTTTTGCCAGTGACAGAAAGCTAAGGAGTGGTAAAACTGATCTAAGAAGATAAGTATGTGCCATGGTTCCTAACTCTGTGTTCTGGGAACAAACGGCTGCTTTGCATTACATTAGGGGAAGTTGGGGTTTGATGTTTCCGTGTGCTATGCTGATCAAGCATTTTGGTGTTTTGCTTCATAAAACCTACTCTGTTCCTGTAACTGAGTTGTTTTGCTCTGGGTGCATACACAATATTGAAGGACTTAACCACCGACCCAATTAAAAAAAACCCCACTTTTCTTATGGTCTAATTGAATTTCTATAAAGGCTTAGGTCTGCAAAATAGTTTTCACTGCTGAGCTCTTCTAACCTGCTTCCCCATGGTTTCAAAGATGTTAAGCCTTTTAAGTATAAGCTCTAGCTGTAGTTGAACTAAAGCAGAAGGAATTAGTTGTTATTGATTGGTTCATTATTTTAAATTATCTTTTCCAATACAGCTGGACAAAGATGACTGGCCCTATGATCTGTTGTTATCCATCAGCATAATTCTGACAGTTTCAATCAATCCAATCTGATCAAACCTCAGCTGAGATACTCTCCCAACTGTAGCTGGACAGTGGATCTTGCACAGTATCCCCAACATAGAAAGTCAGGCTCTTTTCAGTGGCCTAGTAACAGACCTAAAGGCAATAGGCACAAACTGAAACCCAGGAGGCTCCCTCCTACCATGAAACCCTTTTTTACTGTGAAGGGTGACTGACCCCACACCAGGTTGCCCAGATATGTTGTGAAGTCTCCCTCCCTGGAGATATTCAGAAGCTGTCTGTACATGGACCTGGGCAACTTGCTCCAGGTGACCCTGCTAGAGCAGGAGAGTTGAGCTGGGCAATCTCCCTACATTCATTTCAGTCTCAACTGTTTGGTGATTCAGTGCTGGTTAATCAGTGAACCTGAAGCAATCTATCACAACTGTTAAGTCTTATGACAGAATTTTACCTTAGGCATTGTGTACTAGCTTAACACACCTTTGCCATTTCTTTGCTAGCATTTTCTGAAATTCATCATTTTCCACGTAAAAATAAAGGAATGGTGTTTTTAGGTGAAGCTGTTACATGCTGTGGTACATAGTGGGTGTATGCTCATTCGTTTGCTTGCCATGTTTATAGAGTCACTAAATGACTGAAAGCATGCTGCCAACCTAAAAACTGAAGTGTGTGAGGCAATAGCCTGGAAATCTGAATGTGTTTGTACGGAGGACAAAAATGCCAGCACATCAGCTTCTCCTGTGCCTTGCTGCTGTGCTCATTAGACCTGCTAGTGCAGAGGATTAATGCATTTGAACACAGAGATAAACTAAGATTTTCCATGGAGCCCACCTTCTTTTTGCCCCTTAACTGTCTTTAGCTGCAGGAGGGAATTAGAGTTGATTTTAAGAGCAGAAATGGAGGAGGTAGAGAAATTGAGCAGGTAATAGAAGGTGGTTGGCAGTCTAAAGTAGGTGGAAGGCAAGGGCGAAACAAACAAATTCACCAGATAGGAACAAATTAAGGATGGAAGGGAGTTGTCAAAGGATAAACCTAACCCACCATGTCACTTTTTCCACCACTTAGAGCTGCTGACGGTGTTAGTAAACAGTGTGTCAGGGTGAAAATCTCCCTCAGAGGTACTAAGACAGGTTGCAAAACCCGTTGAATTTCCAAGAGTTCAAAATTATTTTTTTTTGCTAAGTGAATGTGTTATAGAAGGACTCTTGAGCCCTAGCACAGTATTCCAGATTCCTTACCCATTGTGGATATATGTGTATATATGTATATGTAGATATCTGTGTGTGTGTGTGTGGTTATTGCTTTTCTCCTATAAATAAACATGAAAGACTAGTGATGTTTTTCCCCTCAGTGTATAAAGCTGACCAGTTAAGCAGGATTTGGGGACTAATAGGAGGGTTCTGAGACTGTGAGTAGAGTAGCATATGTGTACATGCATGACTCTGAATCTAGTCATATAGAAGACAAAAGACCCTCAAGGCTTGTTGTTTGGGTAGGGGCAAAGTAAGGTTTAACTACTGTTCTGACAGTGTCAACGTTAGTGAGGATTTGAGGTGGATGATTTGAATGGGAAGCAAAAATGTTGAAAAAAAATGAACTGAATTACAGCATGTATCAAGAAAAGCAGGAGAGACAACACAAATCTAGTGAGTGTCTATCTGATGTAGTATATCTGATCATTATTTAAGGAAACAAATGTTATCAAGAGTGAGAGAAGATTGTGTGACCCAATGGAGATATATTTGACAACCTGTGGCAAATTTTCAGACTGGAATTTTGTATCTAATCTTTGAGGTATATAGGTCAATAAATCAAGGCGATATGTATACATGGAGCTGTGCACATGTAGCCAGCTCCACGAATGAATATATGAAACCTCCAGTTGTGCCATTCTTGGTCACTGCAGCAATGCCTTTTTATTTCATCTGCTTCCAAGGAATAATTCTGAAAATATTTCCGCCCTGAGAACAGCAAATATCAGTATTCCCTAATATACTGCTTTAATGGCAGGAGAATAAAAGCAGCAACACACAAAAAGGTGTATGTTTTAATAAGTCATTAAATAAGTTTGCTAGCATATATAAATTTTTACATAAAAATAAAGCACTTAACTTTTAATAACATTTGAACAATATTAACCTGAATGAAAATATTTAGAATGTTGGTATAATAGCTTAATAAACTGACTCCCAAATAGTTTAGCTAAATCAAAAGAACATGCACATTGTCTCTTGAGAGAGACTTGAAAATGGAGTAAAATCTGAGGTGGAATCTGGCAACTCACAACCTTATTTAACAGAAAAGAGTATTTGTACCCAACAGAAACTGTAGAGAATTTATGTCCCCAGATGGCAAATTTGAGCTGAAATTTGTCTTGAGAATATGATGCTAATGTCCCTGCTCTTTCTGAAAATGTCAGACCTACAAATACAATCAAGACCTCAGAAGAATTTTGTCTCAGTTCTGCTGTGTTCTTCCTCGTGAAAGTCGTCAATACTGTTGAAGAACATAAAGTGCAGAGATCATTCAAGACTGGAAAAATGGTGCATTTTGAGTGAAACAAAGAATCTCTTCTGAAAGGTAACTACTTTCTATGGCTGGACATACCGTAGTGTATGGATGGCTCTATCTTCAAGTTTTGAAGCAGAATTAAGAAAGGAAGAGCATAGTCAACAAAATGGAACATGACCTACTTATATAATATTTTTTCATTATCTGCTCAGCTTAATTTTGCAAATTTAGATACATACACATATGAATGATACCTCATACTTTTATTTTCTCTCCCTGCATGCACCTGAACAACTAGTACAGCATTCGGTCAGAGTACAGAGAAACAAAGCATGGAGGTGCTAACTGGGCATATTAAGCTTGGACAGCATTTTTTAAAAATTAAGATTACCAGAAATTATGTTTAAAGCAACTATGTCCTTCAGTTTATTTCTAGTTTCAAATGCCTGATAGGAATTGTGTGACTTTTCTCAGAAGGTGGGGAAGTGCCCTGAAGTTCCTCTTTCTGGTGTGGAGCTTCACAAGAAAGTTACTGGCATGAAGCCACACTGGCTCTGCCAGAAGTGTTTATGACTATTGATTAGGCAGGGGGGTTGGAACTAGGTGATCTTTAGGGTCCCTTCCAACCCAAGCCATTCTATGATTCTGTGAGTAATAAGTCTACCTCTGATTGTGTTTGCAGTGATGGTTATGATTCACAGATTATGGCCTAACTCTGTTTCTGAAACATTTCATAACCTATGCAGCTCTGCTTTCTGCATTGACTGTCAGGATTCTACAATGTCACAGTGCATAATAAAAGATACAGCAAAAGGTCATCATGCAGACAGGCAGAGCATCATATTTACTACCATTCTGGAGCAAAAATAAAAGCAGAGGAACACTGGACAGTAGGTTTCAGCCATCAGACAAAAGTGTTGCATGTTGTTCTGTAGGGCATCTTGGGAGGGTTCTTGTTCTGGCAGAGCCTCTAAGAACATGGAACCTCAGGCCTTGCTATGTGCCAAGGTAGTTCACAGTCAGCAGTCTGGATGATGGTTTCAGTTTCAAACTGGATATCTTCTAGACTGTTAGACTGATACCTAAAATAGATGAACATGTGATTTACAGAAATGCGATAAGCAGGAGCTGAAAAAGAGTTGATATTAAATGTCCAGTTATTTTAGAATCTGGAAAAAGAAGGAGGTGGGGTCCAGGACTCCTGATGGTATAGGGAAACAGGACTGACTGAGGAATGCGTTTCCCGCTTGCTACAAGGAAGTATAGGCTCTGATGTCAGCATGAGGCTCCTTTCAGTGCAAAATAAACCCTGGGCTGCTGAGACCTAATCTTGGAACAAAATGGAGAAATGCAATGCAAAGATAGAATTCTGTTCCTAGTACAAGATGATTCTTCCAGTCTAGTGTTGGGCAGCCTCCAGTGGAGCAATGCCTCAATTGTTTAGCTCTGTGATGACAAATATCCTTGCACTTCATGTGTCATTTCATCCCTCATCCAGTTCCACCTTTCTTATAAATGGTGGTGGACAGGACAGATTTATACCATTCAATGATTTTAGGAGGCTAATCTATCCAAAACCTAGAAAAAAAATTATGAAACTACAGGATAAAGTGGTAAGCTTGTGCCATCACAGTCTCATAGAGCACATAGAGGGAGAAGTGGATCCCAGGGCAAGACAGGAGAAAGATGTTTTGACTTGCTGCAGGATGGAGTAAGTTGTTGCAGGAAGTAAATTGTCAAGGAACTTTAGCTAAAGTCCATTGTGAAACCTAACTTTCTGCCAGCAGCTGGAAAGTAGGTGAAGGGATGATTACAAAGGGTAAAGTTCGTGACTTGAGGGACAGTAGAGCTGAATGAGAAGTAACAGCTTACCCTGGTTGTTAGATGAGGTATTTCTGTTCTTCTTCAATATCACAAACCCCAGAAGAAATATGATCAGTACAACCACAGCTATAACTGGGCCAAAGAAATTTATCTTTACTTGCTCCTTCTCTTCCTCCTGTATCTCTGAATAAGAAAACAGAGAAGATACACCAAAGATTTATTTTGGTGACAATTAGCTAAAACAATCTATCCCAAACTTATGTGAATTAGAAGTTTAGGTAAAGGCCCTCAGTATCCTTTGCTTTTACAGTGCTTTAAGTGTCAATAAATCATTATCCACATTGCCTTATTTCCATTTCCGAGGACAAATTCCAAGAAAGCAGCAGGTCTTCATGGTCATTTCAACAATAGTAAGGCAAAGCACTCTTTCTGAGGTTTGGGTAACAACTTAATTAACACAAGAGTTTACAAGGTAGCTACTGTGCTAATGCTCCTCTGTGCTATTGTGCAAGTTCAAAGAACCTGAGATGTGTTCTTGTTTGGTATCTATTGGAAATGGTGGTCAAAGACTAATGAAATGCCGTAAGGGATATGAAAGTATTAGGGAATGCAAAGGAGTTTCCCTTTATTTCTGGTTTTTGTGTTTTTGAGGTTTTGGTTGGTAGGGTTAACAGCTGATAAAGCTTCAGTTCCTGCGAAGCAAAACTTATGTTTATGTGGAGTTTCTGGTTTCCTAGCCACCATCAGGTGGCTACTTTCATAAAGCCAGGAAGAATTGAATAGGAAAGAGGAGGATACACATTATAGCTAATATATGTAATATAGCCATGTCCACACTCATGAGCAACATGTAGAGCTGTATAAACCTCAGAAGACTCCAGGATGGTATTTTGATATTATTTAAAAGTCATAGAATGTAGAGACATTAGAGGCAGTTCACCATATTTGACATCGGTAAATTAACCCTTTAAATAAACTTCTATTAAGAAAACTTCAGTGTGGAACTTCTTTTTCAGACCAAGTGGCAAACTTCTTTTACATCTGCAGCAGTAAGGTGCATGTCTGTACTACTCTGCCAGGCTTTCCTGCAAAGTTACCATTCCCTCTTGGCTTGCATTTCCTGTCAGCTGAAACCCAGCTCTCTATCTTCAACATTGTTGAAAGGAGATACATGCAAGCCAAACGAACTTATGACCAAAGTGGGAATTGTCTTTATTTTGATGTGCTTGTGCTATACCTTATAAACAAAAATATGTCATAGGATGTTTCCTTGTTCCAGAAGATAAATAAAATACTGCTTTAGTTTAAAGAAAGGATCAGTCATATGGAACCCTGAGATAATCCAACAGTAAAGTCATATTGGAACTCAGGTCCCCATCTTCTTTTTGCAAGAGGTGTCTGAAAAAAGGCACAATCTCAGAGAATAAAAATCCCCAAATAGTCATTTTAGTATGTGCACTACGTTCTGCCAAATGTTATGAAAACCACCAGGAATGCTTCTAATACTAGTCCAAGTTTCATGGCCTTTACACTTAAACTCAGCACAGTCTATTTGGCAGTTTGTGAGCCAAATATGGTTCAAGGGACTCTTCTGTTTAGCTTTCTGCCTCTCTCTAAAGAATGATTAAGAATAGAAACTCAAGCACTTTAAAACAGAAAAAAAACCCCAACCTTTTTTTACTCTCAGTGTAGTCGAACTCTAGAACAGTTTGTGAAGAGAGGTTGTGGAATCTTTATCCTGGAGGCATTTAAAATTCAACTGCATAAGGCCCTGTGTTTCTGTGAAGTGGCAACCTCTCTCAACAGCTATCACCCCTGGAGAGAGGTTGCCCTCTAATCCAGAGATCCAAGTTGCTTTGTTGATACTGCAGCACCTTCTAGGGTGGGGATGAATAGGGCTGTGTTCTGGATTATGTAGCAGTAGTCTTCCTTCTCTGTGTCCTTTCCTTTCTGTAATAAGATTTTCTACATGGAAAGGAGGGGGAATTCAGTGGCAAACAAGGATGGAGAACATACAACCCTTGTAATCAACTGCTACTACTACTTAGGGTTTATTCCATGCCTTGGCTATGTTGCTGTCTGTGATCTGCTTACTGCAGTATGTCCTGCTCCTTCCCATGCAAAAATTGGAATGGACAAATGGAGACTCACCTATGAGTGGCACTGAGACAAGGTTTCCCAGATGCTCTCCAAGGTGAAGCAAGCAGCTAATAGTGAGGGTGTTTGTAGGAACTGGGATGTTCAGCTTGCTAGTAACATTGTACAGCTTTGTTACAGCATCCTGTGAGATGTCCATGTGAGGCGTATGCCTGCGCGTTATGTTTTCATATGAAATTAGCCAAGTCATCTCCTTAGGCTCTGGATAGCCTCCACTGGAAGAACAGGAAAGATTCAAGTATCTGTTGGGTTTTAGTTCCCCAGTGTGCAGTCGTGCTATCTCAGGTTGACTATAGTTGGCTGAAATAGACCAAACAGAAAGCATCGTGAGCCAGACATACCACATTTGTGACAACTCCTGCCAATTATTTAAGGCTTTTGGGCAGAAGCAAGTCTAAACAATTTTCTTCAGGAAGACAGTGGGTGTTCCAAGGGTTTTTTTGTCAATGGTTGGTCTTTTTCTTTTGGTGTATATGTAGACTTGCTGCATTTTGTCCTCAGCCTGTTTCAAGGATGTAAGCCAGACAATGGGCTTCTGTCTCTCCCACCTCCTTTAGATCCTCTGAGACCTCAGAAAGTCAGAGCTTAAGAAAAAAATGGGAATGAGACACAGTGCTTCCTACTTTTGGCCTTCTGAGTAGGTATGGGAAAAACCACAAACATCTAACTGTGAAATGCAGAGAAAGAAATCATCTGAGAGAATTCAGATGGGGTAAGCTGGAGGTGCAGTGCTGTCATAAGTAGAAATATCCTTGGTTTCTGTCAGTATTGCGAGTAAACATTGTGCAGCATATAAAGTAATTCATTCCATTTGATGTAGGCCTCCCTCAGCTTGGCCTTTTAGGTGGAAATGACTAGAGCTAAAGGGTTTTTTACTTTGTGACATTGGGTAGTCATCAAGGAAAAATACATCTGTTGCTTTAAAAAGTCAAGTTTCCCAGGCAAGAAATAGTGAAACAGGATTGGGAAGAATTATTTAAACATAAAATATGAATGATAAATGGAAGATTTTAATCAATTTATTTAACCAATACTCTCTCTTAAATAATATTCTCAACCAGGATTTGTTTGGTTGAAAGTTCATGGTAAAAATAGTAGCCTATAATGGAAAAGGAGGAGACAATGCAGACATAATGATGACTACATGCTGGCATACAGCAAATTAAAACAAAAAAATCCCCCCAAAATCAGCAATGAAACCACAGAGACATACTCAAGACTTCATTGACAATATTTCATTATTTTAGCACCAATAGGACTAGGTACAATATGGAGAAATACTGGAGAAGAGGAAAAGGATTCTTATGAAAATATGAGCCTAAGAGAGTCTCACTCTTCTGCACAGACACTCAATGTACAGGACCCGGGATCTAATCCTTGCCCTAGTGAATTCATAATATGGATGAATGAAGAAATATGATGTTGCTATTATTTGCTTTATACTAGCACACAGGGAGTAGGATTTAGCTTAATCGCTTAAGTCCCCAAGAGAGTCCATGGATGTGCATTCAAAATGGAAAAAGCGCCCCTTTTTTATATACCAGAATTTAGTTGTCCCTCAGGAAAGGAAAGAAACTTCCTCTTTCTCCTCAACATCTGACTTGCTTAGCTGACTGCTGGCAGACTTCTGGTCTGGAGTATTTATTCTCTCCTTCGCATTTTATAGGGATGGCAAGGCTGTGAAACTTGCCACATCATCCAGGTGATTTAAGGGTTTCAACTTTATTGACAGTAAGCAAGTGGAAATAGTGGAATATACCCTGATCAAGGCACTTCTGTTTTATAGCTTCTGGAACTTCAATTTACTGAAAAGTGATGTTGGTTGCATGCAGAGTGTGGGTTACGTATATCTGAATTTTGTGTTAAAAGAAAAGCCTGTTTCAGGAAGTCTTTCTTATTTAAAGAGAGTGTCTTCCAAAAAGGCTATGGGCTCAGATTAAAATAACTCAAGAGGCAGCAGATCCATCAAGCCATTAATATTTTTCTCAATTGCTTAATCACCCTACTTGATTTTGTTCTATTTTCTTAAGTGTGCCTTACTTCTCAGTTGCTTCCAGATGCTGACTGCCACTGAATTAGCATTTTCTTTTTTACATTCAGTATTTTATGTGTATTTCAGGTTCCCAGACTCTAAAGCCAAGACTCTTCTCATTCTTCTGTGTTATAAGGTAATCAGATTGTCTTTTTAATGTCTTCAGTTGTACTGTATTTTTTTTCAGCCATCAGATAACTGTAGGAGAGCTTTTCTTTCAGGTTAAAATGAGGTCACAAATGGTTAAATCTCTCTTTTGACATCAGTTTCACTCTCAACACTTTAAGTAGTGCATATTTTGAAACAGTTTCCCTGGTCTCACCTGCTTTGCTTATTGATCCTGCCAGAGGAATCACTGCAGACATATTATAGCAACAGGTTTTCCAGTTAAGCTGCTTGTCACCATGGTCCCCTACCCTGCATGGTTTAAGAACCAAAGTTTTCCATTGTGAAGCCTTCTCTTATTTTCTGGAGAAGGATTTGAGTTCACTGTTATTATGTAAGTCATCCTGACTGTACACAATACACATAGCATGTAAGCACAGGACAGCCCCAAGAACCACACCATGTGCCTGAGAGCGTTATCCAAATGCTTCTTGAACTCTGTCAGGCCTGGTGCTGTGACCACTGCCCTGGGGAGCCTGTTCCAGTGCCCAAACACACTCTGGGTGAAGAACCTTTTCTTAATAGCCAACCTAAACCACCCCTGACACAGCTTCATGCTACCTGTATATTGTCCTAATGTAAGACATATAAATAACATGTGTAAACTGTATATTAGGAAGGCACTTCAGTATTTCTGAATGGTGTTGGTCTCCAAGTGATTTAGATAGCTTTGTGTGACTGCCCTGTCGTTCATGTACAGCACTCAGTCTTTCTTATTACCATTTTAAGAGTAACATGCCAAACTACAAAAAACCCTCCATGTATGATATGAGAGTCTAATAAAAAACCAGCATGTAAGCACAGGTACATTTCAGCATTTCTACTTTACCTCTGATTATTTTGAAGCTTTTTTTTTTTTTTTTTAATATGGTTTTATACTGCTCCTTCCTTTGGGAGTTTATTGAACAAAAAGTCATCTGGAGGAAACACAACAGCACATGTTTAAAACGGTCTTCCAAAGTTAAACCTTAAAAGGTGTAGGAGAGTTTTAGTGCTTAAGTATGAGATATCTGTCACATGTTGCTCAGATGTTGGCTAAAATGATAAGTGATTTAACTGTTTGAATTAACTGAACAGCTGATGCTAAGCATATCTTAAATTGGAGGCCTTGATACTGAGTGCACCTTTCTGAGTTTCTGAACTCAGAACTGATCTAAGTTGTAAAACTTCACTGAAAATGCTTGTCAAGTAGATCCTGGGAGAATCAAAAATAACAATCTAGGTTTTCTATCTGTGGATCAAGGGAACACTTGCTGGTAGCACAAAGCTAAATAAGATCAGATGTCGTGGTACTCTGTTCTTGGCTGTTGTAACACATGGCCTGTTCTGTTTTGAAGCAGTATGCTGAAGCCTGAAAACATCAGTGGAAGTTAGAAGCTGTTATTATTAATGACTAGCACTATCACAGTGGAAGACAGAACACAGGCATATGGATAAAGGTTACTAACAGAATAGTTTGAAATAGAAAAACGTTGGGATTATATGTTAGGAGTTGCTAAAAATAATAGAAAATATTAGGAAAAGATTGGTGCCTCACTTCCATTTCCACATCAAAAGCTTTAATGCCTTTTCCTCTGATGCAAAAAAATCAGGCTGGATCTCATCAATGAATGCATATTTTCTTCAGAGATATTTCAGTCTTCCTTTAACTGAACACAAACTTCTACTCCTCCACGTGAGCAATTTTTTTTTTTCCCTGCAATTTATATGATCATAGAATAGATGGATGTTTGCAGAGATCTTGTTATGTTTCAATTCTAATTTAACACCAGTGAAGATAACTACTGCTACCTTTAATAGAAGTAGTGCATCAGATGCAAATAAAGATGTGTATTTTCCAGAGTCCTAAAGGCCATAAAACTTCCAGGAGGCAAGAGGAACCAGGCAAAGTGGTTTTCACTATAAAGTATGACAGAGTGGAAATCAAGAGTGATGTAATATTGTGCAAATTATTGCCTCATTATCTATGTTTTCTGATTACTTTCACCTGAGTACTTTTCATTCAGAGATGAGAATTTCCTATTGAGAATGTTCTTATCCATCTTTAGAAATTCTGCTCCAGTGCAGGTACATTTTCAGTGCCTTGGAGACAGGACCTGTATTTCTGGACTGCGCAAAGTCACAGAGAATCCCCCCAAACCCTCCAGACCAGATGGCAATTAGAAGAGATTACTCACCAATGATGTGCAGTGAGCACTCAGATGTGTGCATGATCTTCGGTGATCCTTTATCTATGTGCTGTATAATACACTTATACTGTCCCTCATCCACAACTTCTGCATTTAACAGTTGCAAGGTCCATTTGTCCATATCCATCTTGGTGCGATTTATGTATTCAGAATTAAGGTGCTCATATTTTTCTTGGCCGTGGTACACTTCGTGTACCACATGAGGGCCTTTTTGCCAAAAAACTCTTAAATCCTTTATGTCGATTTTCTGAGTGTTTGGAAGATAGCAGGATAGGTATGCCGTGTGATTGAGATATGCCTTCACCTGATGCACACTGGCAGCAATACCTTAGACAGAGAGAAGAAATTAGGATTTCCGTCAGCTACAAAAGAACACCAAATTGCACTCACAGAGGCAACGCTCAATGACAGTGGCAATAAACCCACTAGCATTCAGTCACAAATTCTCCCACTGGGTATGACAGGACACGTAGTTCTTCAAACTGACTCACTTAGTCATGTGGAGTTCAGGTCATAAAACTGTTTCTTATTTTTCTTCCTATATTTTACTTTCCAAGGAAGGCCTACCACACAGAGATTGCGACCATCTGTATTTCAGTAGACTTATCTGCAGGACAAAGCTCCAAACCATTCTTTTATGTTGCATCCTGAGTGTAATGAGATTCTGCCACAAAGGAGACAGTTGCACAATTTCTGTTTAAAAAGTTGAGTTAATTATCCTAACAGAATAGGAGAGCATTGCAGTTTTGAAGAAAATGTGAAGTACACACTGTGTGGTAAATGTTGGTGTCTATATGACTAGAAGGTCAGAAGCAGATGAACACTTTCAGTCTCACTGAAGAATTAATCTAAAGTTTATGACAAATTAAATGTCAGATTTAACTGTTCTGTAATTAATCCAAAGTTTAATGACAGATTAAATGCCAGATTTAACTGTTCTGTTGCTGATCTTGTGACCAGAAATAGTCAATAAACACAATTGTGCCTTCATGTAAAGAAAGGATTAACTATATTACACAATGGATGATTTTTCTCCTGCTTTCATCACTGCATGTATCCATTATTATGGGTGGCAATGGGCTGGGAGGACTGTCTTTTCCTGGAATAAGTATGCAGTCCTCTGTCCCAGAAGATACAAACATCTCTGCAGTGTTCAAAAGGAGGAGAAGATTTACAGTCTCTCTCCTGCTGCAAAGTTTTGACTGTTCTTCCAGAGCACCAGACTGCAAAATGATCTCTGTTGCTGTCCCATATCAAACTGTCAGTTTTCAGTTTAATACTGCTCTTCTCTATAATACACACAGGTGATAGGCACACATTTTAAAGACAGATTTAAACAGAAAATTTAAGAGCAACATAAACCAAATGCAATGTAAAGATATAAAGTTGAAGAAAGTACTTACTATATATATTTTATAGAGTCTCTGCACATAATTTAAAGACATGTCACATAGGCTATATGATTTTGATTGTGCAATGGAAATGATTAATCACTGCTAGGAAATGAGCTTCTTAGTGAATGAGAACATATCACACAACAGGACACAAACAATAAAAACAATTTTAACAATTAAAAATATGCCTTTTACCTGGGAGAAGTATCATAGCATAAAGGAAGAATATGCAGCCCTCCATGACACTGTAAGAAGGAGGAATGAAAGAAATATGTTAGAGGTAGAAAACATTCCAGTACTCCCAAAGAAGTGGCAAAACAAGAAGTTTTAGCAAGACAGAGAATATTGAGAAAGTTAATCTCACCTTTTCCCTTGGACTGGTGCAAGGACTTCTGTGTGCTTCACAGCCTTTAGCAACCACAATGCCATGGCAGATCTCTGCTGTACAGAGAAGGTGATGTGGTGCAAGATTACTGCACACTGGATATGCCATGGGAGGAACACAGAATCCCCCAGGGTGCAAAGGGCTCGACAAGTACCCAAAATGCCTGATGCGGAGGAAAGAGGAATGGGGAGCATGCTTGGCCTAGCACTGTGGGGAAGAAGATGGAGGAACTGAAAGTAGAGGAGGAGGAGAGCATGATACAAAAGAAGGTGGTGAGGGAGACAGTGCAATGATGTCAGCTACCAGAAATGATGAAGTATGTGACCTTCAGTTTTTTAACAGAAACCTATCCTTCACAACAGTGAAAGATAATGGAGAGAAGTCCTATATGATTTAGAGTTGAGGCTAAACAGCATGTAGTTTGTGGCCAAGAAAAACTGGTGTCTTTTTAGAAAAAAAACCCAACCCTATGACTTGCCTCATAAGCAAGTCTCTCTCCACTGGCTGCTTGGGTTCATGTGGTCTAAGGGTCTATAATCCTGGTAAACAGCCAAATGTCATTCCCCTGCACTGGTGAGAGAATGTCATCTACATCTGATGGGTCTGTGTTTGCTGGTTTGCACTGTAGCAGTGCCTCTGTGTTTTTTGCATGCCTTTCCCATATATTTAGGAGAAGCTTCTATACCACCCTTGCCAAGGTCACTCACTCTCCTCCAAAGAGTCATCTTTTGCTGGACCAGATGTAAGAGCTCTCCAGCTCTCATATTACTTAAAAACAGTGTGATTGCTGTCTGCTGTCCTCACTGATAGTATAGTTTCCTGATGGTTTCCCATTTTTCGTCATGTTTTATTTTAGGCTGGTACACTTTACCCCAAGACTTTGGGTGCAAGAGTCTCTTCTGTTGTTTAATGGAGAATTCCCCTCAGTCCACTGACATGATTTTTGTGTGTGTACTGCAAAGTATAGAACTGTTGATCTTTTTTCCAGCTTCATCCTGCCTTTTCTTGAGAAAGAGGAAAAAGCAGTCCAAATGTCTCAGAGGATATAGCTGGTTTTCTTTGTGATTCACCTGCCATAGCAGAAGAGGAGGGAGGAGAGGGAGGGCTTGTGCAGAATCCATTGTTATAAACAGAGGTCATTCACCTCTGCTTCAGCCACCCTACTACATGGTGAGCTTTTACTGAGGGATTTTCCTCCCGGGCGGGGCCCCACTGAATTAAACCACACAACCGACTGCCTAAACAAGTTGCCTATGCCAAGCCATGGAAAACTACAGAAACGACTTCTCAGCAGTCATATTTCCATCTTGTGAATAAGAATTTTTGCTTCCAGTCAAGTAAAAAAATAAAGGATAGCTCTATTTTTTTCAAGCTAGTGCAGGTGTGTAAGATGAGAAATTAAAACAATTTAACAACTGGAGACATAAGTAAAGTAGAGAGTACTGCTATAGCTAGGCATGTTTTGCATTGACTGCCTCACGGCAGAAGAGACCAAAACCAAAACTGAAAATAAGAGTGAGAGACAAAACCCTGGCATGAATACCCGATGACACTGCTTGCCTTTCTTTATGGGCTGGATTTGGAGCTCTAGGACAGAAGTTTCCTGGCTACTATCTTCCAGAAGAAGGCGTGTTGTTGGGGATGCCTGCATGAAGAAGGGTCCTGTGAGTCTGCAGAGGGGTGTACACCCACATTCCCTGCAGAGGGGAATTGCTTGTCAGTGAGTGTGAATGTGACAAGCAGCTTCTCTCATGTGAGCTGCTTTATAGAGAGTTGCCGAATCATTCATTGGGCCGCTAAAATTTCAGTTCTGTGAACAGCTTCTCTTCCCTGTTTTCACAAAATGCTTTTAACCTGCAAATGCAACTCCTTGGAGCCAGTGTCCAGAAGACTGTAGGAAGGAAGGGGAATTAAATAGTCTCTGTTTCGGCTACATACACCATTTGTTTGGTATATTCACTACAAATTCTGAGCTCAATTCTCTCTTATGTCTGCATGCCATTGAAAATCTTGTTGTGTCCCCCAGTCAAAGGGGGTTAAATAAGAGGGGAAAGATAAATTTAGCTTCAGAATATGGCCTGCTGTTGACAAATGGTGTAGACCAAACCACACTCTTTGTGGCCATGGCCCAGTGCATGAGCATTCTGCTCCACTTCAGAGTATTGTGGGTCTGGGTACTGATGGGCAGTTTTTCTGTTCACAGGCTGAGTGCATCCATCTGTGGAAATGGCAGTTTTTCGTGGTGCCACTGATAACTGATGAGATGAGAGTGGCTTGAAGATCCAGGGCTTTAAAATTATCTCTGACATCCAGAATAATGTGAGGTCAGTTCACGAGGAGGTAAGCACTTTCCCTTGCCATATAAGGCCAGCACTATGTGGTGTGTCTTTCTTGCCTGTTGAAGCTTTGTCAGCCATTCCTGGAGTTGTATCCATGACTCACAATTACAAATCATGTGTAGATGTCAGAGACGAAAAATGGAGAAGTACATTAATTGAAATTATGGCAGTATGCAGGCAGCAGTCACCCTCAACCCTTTATTTACTATCTCTGCAGTTCAGTCACTGAAAGGAGAAGAAACCATACGAGTACATGCACTATACAGGCCTGATTCATGACAGCTTTGGTTTTGGCCATAACCAGTCTGAGAAAACTCCTGACGCAGTTCCCATTTAACTTAGTATGGGGGGATTCCTGTCCTGAAGAACTCTAAGATCGATGCTTGGGCAAAAGAGGCAACTGCAGTCCCTTTACTTTTGAGGGCAATTGTCAGAAATTGCTGGGTGACTTATTTTGAGATTTGCTTGTGCTTTCTGTCTCCTGTTCCTCCCAATTCAGCATGTGAATCCAACATGTGAAACCCCAATAGGCACAGTAAAGCACAAAGATTTTGAAGTAAACAAGAGCTTTGTGTCTGGTATGCTTGCCTGGATTTTCATTAGCTCTGTATTTTTCCTGTTTTTATTTTTGGATGTAGTCATTATCTTTTGAAAGACTGTCAAATCTGTGCTCTTTGACTCCTAAGTTCCTTCATTGTCCTTCAGTTTCTTCCAAAATGTTCCTGTCTTGCATGTTCTCATATGTAATCAGTGTATTTTCTTTCAACAGGTACACATATTCTATGGAAAGACTCTCCTGCCCCATGCTTCATGTTGAACTCAAAACAAAACTGAACACAGAACTAGTTACTTATGCTTTTGACTTTTCTGGTGTGGGGAATTTTTCTGAAATTTCCACCATGTGGAACACTGAGTAGCTCCATGAGCAGTGCTGCGAGCCTCCTGGAGGGAGGACATCTGTGACTAAGACGTTCCACCGCTGACCTGAAAGCTATCTTAGGGGCTACTCAGATACTACTAAATTAGATTATTCTAGAAATGTATTTACCAGCCTTCTCCCATGTTGTAAGCACAGGTTGATTTGAACAAGTGTTATCAATGGAAACTTGCATTCCTGTGTGCTTCTCCAGAAAGTGTTTTAATTGATTGCAAAACTTTTTTTATCGCTCATTTTTTAGAACAATCTTTTACTCCATGTTACATTTAAAAATTTGAGGCTTGTTGTTTAATGATATTATTACATAAAAACCCCAACCCTCTACCTCTTTAATTTTTGATTTCTGAATGCATTTTGTATTCCTTCCCACTATCCCTCCTTTCAGTAACATCCTTTTATTATATCTAAGATCTTCAGGAGGACCATGACTTTCACCATGATTCTGAGATCACTCTAACATCTAGAAACTGCTCTTTTCATAAAAATTAAAACCCACCGATTATTTAAATAATACCTTTAGTCCAAAGATCATGGAGCATTCCACTGCATCTGTACGCAGAATTCTTTATGCACAACTAGGTACCTCTGAAAGAGAGCACAGCACCTGCCTAATGACACAGTCCCACTGCACAAATCATAGGACAAGAATGTATTCTCCCTCCAAGTGAAATTGCATGGGAAATTCAGAGGGAAAGAACATCATCAACCAGAACTAGACATTCTTTGGCATTAGCCATGTTTTTTGAGTTCCACCTAAAGGATGGGTCAGGTTGACATACTATTTCACAATAAGTTACAACTGGCCACAGAACTGGCAAGTGGGTTGAACCACTTCTGCATCACAGGTACCATAACAGGTGACATCTGCCCTCCTTTCCTCCTCACACTTGCCTCAAGGCTAGTAAAGCAAACTTGGCAACTGGAAAGTAGCAATTGCTGGCTTCACTTCTCACGAGATCACACTAACCCGTTTGACTTTGCAATAAAGCAGAGAAGGAGCACACCCTTGTTCCCACAGGCAACAGTTTAGCGATGCCATCTATTTAACAGACAGGTCACTTGCTGGAGTCTTGTCAGGAGTCATTGCACAGAGGAGGGAATTCAAATACAAAAAAAACCGTCCCTCAGCCTGGAAGACTCCTGCACAGGACACTTTGCCTGGAAATGGCATCATGGCTACGCAGTGAAGTACATGCATAACCTCAAATGGCAGTTTGCAGGGCACTTCTGAGGTCAAGGTATGCATTGTATAAAGAAGGATGAATCCATTATCTGATTCCCAACCTATATCCAAAGGCACCTAACAAGGATTATCATATATTATATGCTTAGGAAGACTCCTGCACAGGACACTTTGCCTGGAAATGGCATCATGGCTACGCAGTGAAGTACATGCATAACCTCAAATGGCAGTTTGCAGGGCACTTCTGAGGTCAAGGTATGCATTGTATAAAGAAGGATGAATCCATTATCTGATTCCCAACCTATATCCAAAGGCACCTAACAAGGATTATCATATATTATATGCTTAGACCTCAGGTATTGCATTCTTTATTTTCAGTAAGAGTCTTTAAAAATCA